GAGGTTTTGGTAGGTTATGTCACTATTGTTATTCAGTCCAAATAATTTTTTAATTTCCGTCTTTCATTGTTGGCCTAGTGATCATTCAGGAGCAGGTTATTTAGTTTCCATGTATTAGCATGGTTTTTAAATTCCTTTTGGAGTTAGTTTTCACTTATTCCACTGTGGTCTGAGACAGTGCTTGATATAATTTTTTTTTAATTTATTGAGGTTTGTTTTATTGCCTATCATATGGTCTATCTTGTAGAAAGTTCCATGTGCTGATGAATACAACGTATATTCTGTGGTTGTTGGGTAGAATTTTTTGTATATATCTGTTAAGTCCATTTGTCCCAGGGTATAGTTTAAATCCATTTTATTGTTGTTGTTGTTGTTGTTGACTTTCTGTCTTGGTGACATATCTAGTGGAGTACTGAAGTCCCCCACTCATATGGTGTTGCTGTCTGTCTCATTTCTTAGGTCTAGTAGTAATTGTTTTATAAATTTGGGAGTTCCAGTGTTAGGTGCATGTATAATTTGGATTGTGATATTTTCCTGTTGGACAAGGCCTTTTATAATTATATAATGTCCTTCTTTGTCTTTCTTAACTGCAGTTGCTTTAAAGTTTGTTTTGTCTGATATAAGAATAGCTACTTCTGCTCACTTTTGGTGTCCATTTGCATGGAGTATCTTTTTTCACCCCTTTACCTTAAGTTTATGTGAGTCCTTATGTGTTAGGTGAGTCTCTTAAAGGCGGCAGATAGTTGGTTGGTGCATTCTTATCCATTCTGCAATTCTGTATCTTTTAAGTAGAACATTTAGGCCATTTACATTCAACATTAGTATTGAGATGTGAGGTACCATTCCACTCATCATGCTATTTGTTGCCTGAATACCTTGATTTTATTTAAGTATTTATTTATTTACTGTATTTTTGTTTTATAGGTCCTGTGAGATTCATGCCTTAATGAAGTTCTGTTTTGTTGTATTTCCAGGATTTGTTTCAAGATTTAGAGCTTGTTTCAGCAGTTCTTGTATTGCTGGCTTGGTAGTGGCAAATTCTCTCAGCATCTTTTTGTCTAAAAAAGGCTGTATCTTTCCTTCACTTATGAAGCTTAGTTTTTCTGGATACAAAATTCTTAGCTGATAATTATTTTTTTTAAGGAAGCTGAAGATAAGATCCCTTCTAGTTTATAGGATTTCTGGTTAGAAATCTGCTGTGAATCTGATAGGTTTTCTTTTACTTGTTACCCGGTGCTTTTGCCACGGTTCTTAAGATCCTTTTTTCTTGACTTCAGATAACCTGATGACTATGTGCCTAGGTGATGATCTTTTTTTTTTTTTTTTTTTTTTTTTTTTTGAGATGGTGTCTCGCTCTATTACAAGGCTGGAGTGCAGTGGCGTGATCTCAGCTCACTGCAACCTTCACCTCCTGGGTTCAAGTGACTCTCCTGCCTCAGCCTCCCAAGTAGCTAGGACTACAGACACAGCACCACGTCCAGCTAATTTTTGTATTTTTAGTAAAGACGTGGTTTCATCATGTTGGCCAGGATGGTCTTGATCTCTTGACCTCATGATCTGCCCACCTCAGCCTCCCAACGTTTTGGGATTACAGGTGTGAGCGACCACATTCTGCTATAATCTTTTTTTTTTTTTGAAACAGAGTCTTGCTCTGTTTCCAGCCTGGAGTGCAGTGGCACGATCTCCACAACCTCCACCTCCCGGGTTCAAGCGATTCCCCTGCATCAGCCTCCCAAGTAGCTGGGATTACAGGCATACGCCACCATCCTCAGCTAATTTTTTTTTTTTTGTATTTTAGTTGAGACGGGGTTTCACCATGTTGTCCATGATGGTCTTGATCTTCCGACCTCGTGATCCACCTGCCTCAGCCTCCCAAAGTGCTGGGATTACAGGAGTGAGCCACTGCGCCCTGCTGCAATGATCTTTTTATGTTGAATTTCCTAAGTGTTCTTTGAGCTTCTTGTATACGGATGGCTAGATATCTAGCAAGGCCAGGGAAGATTTTTTGTTTGTTTGTTTGTTTTTTAAATTATTTCTCTAAATATGTTTTCCAAAGTTTAGATTTTTCTTCTTCAGGAACACCAATTATTCTTAGGTTTAGTCATTTAACATAATCCCAAACTTCTTAGAGGCTTTGTTCACTTAATTTTTTTTTCTTTGTCTTTTTCGGATTGGGTTACTTCAAAAACCTTGTCTTCAAGCTCTGAAGTTCTTTCTTCTGCTTTTTTTGTTTGTTTGTTTGTTTGTTTGTTTGTTTGTTTGTTTTGTTTTTGAGACGGAGTCTCGCTCTGTCGCCCAGGCTGGAGTGCAGTGGCCGGATCTCAGCTCACTGCAAGCTCTGCCTCCCGGGTTTATGCCATTCTCCTGCCTCAGCCTCCCGAGTAGCTGGGACTACAGGCACCCGACTCCTCGCCTGGCTAGTTTTTTTGTATTTTTAGTAGAGACGGGGTTTCACCGTGTTAGCCAGGATGGTCTCGATCTCCTGACCTCATGATCCGCCCGTCTCGGCCTCCCAAAGTGCTGGGATTACAGGCTTGAGCCACCGCGCCCGGCCTCTTCTGCTTGTTTTATTATATTGCTGAGACTTTCCAGTACATTTTGCATTTCTCTAAGTGTGCTCTTTATTTCTTGAAGTTGTGATTGTTTTTTACTTATGCTATCTATTTCACTGAAGATTTCTCTGCTCATGTCTTGTATCATTTTTTTGATATCCTTAAGTTAGATTTCACCTTTCTCTGGTGCCTCCCTGATTAACTTAATAATTGAACTCCTGAATTCTTTTTCTGGAAGTTCAGGAATTTCTTCTTGGTTTGGATCCATTGCTGATGAGCTAGTGTGATTTTTGGGAGGTGATACAGAACCTTGCTTTGTCATAATACCAAAATTGTCTTTCTGGTTTATTCTCTTTTGGGTAGGCTATGTCAGAGGGAAGATCTGGAACTGAAGGCTGCTGTTGAGATTCTTTTGTCCCATGGGGTGCTCCTTTGATGTAGTATTCTCCCCCTTTTCCTAGGCATGTGACATCCTGAGAGCCAAACTGTAGTAATTGTTATTACTTTTCTGGATCTAGCCACCAGAAGGGCTACCAGGCTCTGGGCTGGTACTGGGGGTTGTCTGCATAGAGTTCTGTGATGTAAACTGTCTTCAGGTCTCTCAGTCATGGATACCAGCACCTGTTCCAGTAGAGGTGGCAGGGGAGTGAAATGAACCCTGTGAGGGTCCTTAGTTGTAGTTGTTTAATGCACCAGTTTCCTGCTAGGTGGCCTCCTGCCGGGAGGTAGTGCTTTCAAGAGAGCATCAGCTGTGGTAGTATAAGGGAGGGAGGATGGGGTGGTGGGTGGGACACTAGAACTTCCAAGAGAATATGACCTTTGTCTTCAGCTACCAGGGTAAGTAGGGAAGGACCATCAGGTGGGGGCAGGATGGGGCTTGTTGTGGCTCTGTGGGAAATGGGGGTGTGATTTCCAGGTCAATGGTGTTATTTTCCCAGGAGGATGATGGCTGCTTCTGCTGTGTCATGCAGGTTGTCAGGGAAGTGGGGGAAAGCTGGCAGTTACAGACCTCACCCCACCCAGCTCCCATACAAACCAACAAGCAAATCTCACTTCTACTGCGTTCCTCCCAAAAGCACTGAGTTTGTTTCCAGGCAGTGGGGGAACAGGATTGAGAACTTGCCCCGGGCTACCAGCCTCCCAGCTGAGAATGCAAGCCAGACTTTTGTGCCTCCCTACCTGTTAAATCTGCACACCCACACTAGATTCATGCTTTTTCACGAATTCTGGCCAGGAAACTTTGCGTCGGTTGGAATTGTTACAAAGTTCACCTGGAGGTTTCCTTTTCCCTGTGGTCTTTTCCCAGTTCCTCTGGCAGCCCCTGTGAGTCAAGACAGAAATGGTTCTCTGGGGACTCACAGAGACCACGGGGCGTTACTCCCTGCTTCCTCTACCCCTGTATTTCACTCAACTCTCTAAATTGTCTCAGCTCCAGGTAAAGGTCAAATCCTTCTTCCGTGATCTAGACCTTCAGGTTCCCCAAGGGTATGTGTTCAAGGGTGGACAATACCCCTTTCACACTTTTCACAGTTTGGGCATTCACAGTATGTGGGCTGTCTTCTGTTCCATGCAGGAGCAACCTACTTCCTTCAGAGGGTCTGTGGAATCTCTTGGCTTTCCTGGTATATCCCTGCAGTAGTTCTTGGAGCAAAAGTTCATGATGCGAGTCTCCACATCCTGCTCTGTCCATCCAAGTGGGAGCTGCAAGTTAGTCCTGCCTCCTAGCCACCATTTTTTCCTGTTTTGTATTTAAAATTAGAACTCATTAGTATGTAAACTCCATGAGGACAATAATTTTAATCCAGTCTTTTTCACTGCTAAATACCTCAAAACTGTTACATGTCCTGCTATATCATGGACATTCTAAACATTTCTCATGAATGAATGTTGATGTAGCATAGAGCTGATCTCACCACCTGCCACAAAGTAGAAACTCTCTAAATGTCAAATACTACTATTATAAGTAATACTATTTTATCATTGAAACAATATGGTTCTATATCTCTTTAAGGAGTGCAATCTAGGCAACAACGTATTTCAACATCAGGTATCCATTATCTCATGTTCCTAAGTTCATCTTTTTACCTGATCAATATTAGTAAAGATTCATGGCCTCAAGTGAACTTTATGAATTGGCAATTGGGAACTTAGGTTGAAAATTTACCTAGTTTTTTTATGCAGCCTGTGTTAATTATTTATTCTGTTGCTATTGTTGCCCTAATCAGTTATAATACTCTTACTGGACTCTGGCATGATAAGTAATGTCAATTAATATAGTTATGTTATTTTAACATTATTTCAAAATATTTTAAGTGAAATGTAAGACTCATTACAAAAGGACTTAGAGAGAGGTTATAAATTATTAACTTTTTCCTCAAGAGAAGTATTGTGTACTTAATGACAAGTTCCTAGTGCTTTAGAATTGTTAAAATCTTTGTGAAGCACACCACTGAAGATGAGGTCGAAAATCCTGACTTTTATCATCATATTGATAATCTCAGGAGAACTCTATGCAGAAGGTAAAATTAATTCTTAATATTCTTTATTCTCTAAAACATATAAATGGAGATTTTAATATTTGTATAACTCAAGTTTTAGTACACTCTTTCATTTTCATATATCAATTTTATAACATATATTTTATAAATATAACTTTTTATAATATTTAGACCTTTTCCTTTGAGCAAAATTAGTAAAGTGTTCTTACAGTAGCATAAGTTAGAAAAACAAAAATCCTTGTATCTCTAGAGGGCATAGGAGACAAGGATCTAAATACTTCGAAAAGGTTTTCAGGCTAACAATATGTCCATTTCGAAGTCACATGTTAACTTTAATTCTAAATTTATGCTAGAATCCACTCCTAATACTGACAAAACTTGTACAATTTTAATTCTGTTCATAAGGTGAGAGTTTCATGTGGGAAATTTGAAAAGGAAACAGCCATAAATACTTTCTACTTTTGAGACTTTGATTTTTATCCCAATGAATTATTCATTGGTTTGGAGACATTAAGTAACGATTAGTAGGTGAACCATACAATTGCTTGTACAAACAGGAACACTTAGAGAGTAAAAGAGGGGCTCTATTAATAATTGTTTGGACAACACATGTAAATTAGGACTTTTCAAACAAACCAACACCTGTGGACTCCCTATTAGTAAGTTTTATAGTCAGATTGCCCAGTGTGTAAGATTAGTGTGAGAGTGGAAGGTAGGCAGTATACATGGGTATGTTGTTTAGGAACATTATCAATATTATCAGGCCGTAGGATGAAGATTCCAGGGAGGTCACTTAGCATTAGCAAGAGTGAGCATACAAAGAAGGAAGCTACAGCAATAAAGCTTTTCTAAAATAAACAACTTAGGGAATTCGTTGAAATTAAATATATAAGTTTTCATTGTGTTTTAGTTGAATAGTTTACTATACATTTTCTACCCAAACATCTATAATTAAAATTATAAAAGTGAAAGACACAGAATTCATCTTATTTTATACTTTTAATCTATAGTAGGATGATTTTTGCATGAATTTCTTTTGATTTTATTTTTCTGTCTAAATAGGGAAATACCAGAAGATATAATTGTCCGTTATCCATACCATAAAGCCATTGCAATATTCTAGTCAATTTTCTAATTATTATAAGGTTACAATGCGTTTTACACAGCAACAAAAAAGTAAGCAGCTTGAAGACAGAGACAATGATCTTATTTTTGCATGCTTCTCTCAACTCCCATTGTGCACTTCAGGAGCAAGAATCGGATTAACTGTACTTCTCATTTCATGGTTTGCAGTTATTATTGGCCTATGAAAGGTCTCACTCTTACTTTACTTACACATTTTATCCCCTTATTCCCAGTCTTGAAGTCTGTTTCCCCTGGGACCTACTACAGTGTTTTAACATGTTACTCTAGCTCTCTCAACCACAAATAGCTCTAGAATGAATATGATGATATAACCAACTTATCTTTCTGTGAGAATATCGTCAGTCTGTATTCACTCACAGGTAGGATTCTTGAGTCTATTCTTGTACTTGATTTCTGTGAGTAGTGAGAGATTACTTTTGCAGAATGGCAGTTTTGAAGTATATCATCTCTGAGAGAGGATGTAAATTGTTGCTTCTCATCATCCTCACCAACACCTCATATTGTCCATTTTTATACTGGTTGCTATACGGTTATTCATAACATCCATTTTTATTTATTTACCTTTCTCTGATCAGTAGTGTGTCCATCTCTTCATATACTTTTTTTGTATGTTCAGATGTCTGTGATTTTCTGGTTTATATATGATTAGCATATTCCTCACATTTCTCATTAATTTTTTCTCAGGAGTTCATATTCTCCAAGGCATTCCAGCTACCTTAACAAGTAATGTGCCTATCCTCGTGGTGGAGGGAGATGTCCCAGAACAGAGTCTTTAAAGCCACAACCTAGGATTTTTGTGCAAAGAATATTTTGCTGCCCCTCCCTGACAAGCACCTGTGCCCCCCAGGGAAATTCCTTGTGTATTCACCATTGCACTGCTATTTTGAAAGACTCTTTTTATTGTAAATTCCTTTGGTGCTTGGGTGTGAAAAATGGTGAGAAGAATTCTCAGGGAATGGGGACCATCCTGCCCATGTTTTTCTGTCTGCTCCATCAGATGCTGGAAGTTTTGTTACTCATCATTCCACATCCATTTCCTTCAGACCTAGGCTAGCACTGCTACTCTTTTTTGTTTCACAGTAGCATTAAGGTATACAGTGATCAACCAAGGCATTGAAGCCAGAGTAATCACACTGGATCCAGGCCTTCTTCCATCCATGACTGACCATGTTTCTTCCCAACACAACTCCTAGGATTGTTCAAGTATTTCTTTCTTTTAAGCGTTTTTATGATTTTAAGATTTTCAACATGAAGATAAATTTTTAAAATGTATGTTTCATTTGGAGTATAATATATCCAGAAAAATGCAAAAATCATTGGATACACTTACATATTTTTTTATAAAAGTTTACACCATCAGATCAAGATATAGAACAGTGACAGCACCCCAGAAACAAAAATGATCCCTCTAAGGCACTAAACCCCAAAGGTAACCATTCTGACTTCTATTATCATGGATTAGTTTGTCTTCTTTTAAAAAGTTATGCAAATGTATACATTAATTCATATGTGATTGGTGTGTTTCACTCAATATTATGTTTATGAGATTCACCATTTGTTCATTTCTGTTTTGGATAATGTTCCATTGTATGCATAGTCTAAAACGTGTTTATCTTTTCTATTATTTATAGGCATTTAGATTGTTCCCAGTTTGGGACTATATGAATAGCGCTGCTATAAGCATTCTTTTACATGTCTTTTGGTATAAAAATATATGCTTTTTCAATTGGGTAATACGGTTTGTACACGTTTTACCCCAATATGTATTGCAAAAGTGTTCTCTCACAGAGTTTGGACAGATTTATACTTTCAGTTGTAGAAATATGCAAGTTCCAGTTTCTTCACTTCTTCACAATCATTGAGATAACTTGCCTTTTTCATTTCAGCAGTTCTGTTGGATATGCAGTACTATCTCATGGTGGTTTACATTTGCATTTCCCTGATGACTAGTAATGCTAAGTACTAGGTCTCTAACCATTTAAATATCCTATTTTGCAAAGTTCTTGCTCAAGTCTTGCTTTGTTTTCATTGGTTGTCTGTTTTTTTCTTTAAAAATGCGATTTATTTCAACATTTTTTATGAGTTTGCGTATGTTAAGGAGAAATTTTATCTATGCCTGAACTGTGCTGTCCAATACAGTGGCCGTTAGCCACATATAGCTATTGGAGACAGTACTTAAAATGTCACTAGTCCAAGATCAGATGTTCTGTAAGTATAAATATATAGTGGATTTTAAAGAGTTAGTAAGAAAATAAAGAACGTAAAATATTGTAAAATATTTTCAATATATTAGGTTAAATAAAAACCTATTATTAAAATTAACTTCAACTGTTCCTTAGTGTTTTTATGAATGTGACTATTAGAAATTTTTTAATTACATATGTGACTTGCAATACATATCTATTAGGAAGTGCAGGCAGGGTGGAGTGGCTCAACTCTTGTAATCCTAGTGCTTTGGGAGACCACGGCAGAAGGATCCTTTGAGTCCAGGAGTTTGAGACCAGCGTGAGCAACACAGTGAGACCCCTCATCTCTACAAAAAATAAAACAAAAATTAGCCAGATGTAGCGGCATGTACCTGCAGTCCTAGCTACAGGAGAGGAGGTTTGCTTAAGCCCAGGAGCTCCTGGTGGCAGTGAGCTATATTTCAGCACTGTACTGAAGCCTGGAAAACTGAGGCAGACTCTGTCTCTAGGAAGAAAAAAGAAAGTACTGTTCTACGAAATTAGGCAAAGCTTCTCTGAGAAAGTGGTCTGCTAAGTTTTACCATGACTGTTGGATGTTTAAAGTCATTTGCAGATCAATTATGATAAAAGGACTGCTCGAATTATCACAAAAGTACCTTGAAAATTTAAGTAAGAAAAATAAGTCCTAGTTGAAGTGTCTCTAAAAACGTTTAGTTTATGTTGTCACCTGATTACAAATTTATGTTTTTAGATTTCTTTTTCCATTTTCAGCTTGACATTTACTCATTTCAGAGAAACCCTGTGGTTTTCCTCATGTGGAAAATGGAAGAATTGCCCAATATTACTATATTTTTAAAAGCTATTACTTTCCAATGAGCATAGACCAAAAATTGTCATTTTTCTGCTTGGCTGGTTATACCACTGAAAGTGGAAGACAAGAAGAGCGAACCACGTGTACAACAGAAGGCTGGTCTCCAGAGCCAAGGTGCTTCAGTAAGTCAGCTGGATGTGTCTGTCACTCAACGTTGCAATACTCAAAGAAATTCGTATATAAAAATAGAGGTCCAATAAAAACAGAAAGCGGTTAAACCTTTTAGTAGATAAGAACAAAATCACTAGTCATCTGTCTTTCTACAACATGAAGGCGTAATTTGAAATCCAGTAAAGAATGCTTTTACATGAAAATGTTATTTTCTTTATCTGTTTTTAATAATACTCTGTTGAAGGGAATAGGGTAATAACTGACATTATTTATCACATTGCAAGGCAAAGAGATGTAATTTACTTTAAGTAACAAGAAACTTATTTTGATAATTAAGCATAGGATGCCAGAAAAGTGCTTGAAACGCTGGCCTCTGGAAGGGCAAGATTGCTACTCTAATGCTTTATCATTTGTAAGACTCATCTCTCCTTTGTGTGCCAACTTCTCTCATGATACCCATTGAAAAACGTGTTTTTCAATTTTGAATTGAAAGTTTGAGTTCAAATTTGTGAGAAGGCAATCTAATTGACTCATTTCATTGTTTTATGTCAGGCTACACGATCATCAAACTATCTGTGATCTTTCGCTAGGGCAGGTGATCCAGAGTAAGGGGCTTTGGTTGAGCCAGTTTCATTTAAAAGAGGATGTTGAATATGGTTATTGCTATTGATATATCTAGTAAACCTACCTAGAAGTAGATCTGGTAGGGGTATAAATTACTATAAGAACTAAAAATACTAAATACAAAGAAAGTCAGTGTTAATTTTCAAAAATTATGCAGATTATTTCAAAAAAATTATGCAGATATTTCCAAAATGAAATTGCTAGTAATAACATTATACTTTTGGCTTAATTTTACAATTTAATAAAAAACAAGCTTAGTTTCATCATTAAGTTAAACAAACAATTTTTTTTCCCCATAGAAAAATGCACTAAGCCTGACCTGAGTAATGGTTACATCTCTGATGTAAAGTTATTGTATAAAATTCAAGAGAACATGAGTTATGGTTGCGCTTCAGGGTACAAAACCACTGGAGGGAAGGATGAAGAAGTGGTTCAATGTCTCTCTGATGGATGGTCTTCTCAACCAACCTGTAGGAAAGAACATGGTATAAGAATCATTTCCTAAAACTGAAGATAAGAGCTTGTCAAGCTTATATTGAATATATTGAAGCTTATATTGATATCTATTATTTAATAGAATTTATTTTTCATTATGTCTGCAATGCAGGAAGTTGATATTACTTTTTTCAAGTACTAGGTGATTCCTTAATCCAAATGTTCTCAATCCCTACAACACACCTACACCAATAGTTCTTACTTTGCACCAATTAAAGGAATTGGAATGGAATAAAATAAAAGAAGCTTTTCCTTTATATGTCACTATTTCCTTTATTACAGAAGAATTTAAGATCATGTACATTATTTTATGTTGTGAACCAATGCCAGATATACTTAAAAATAGTTCAATAATTTAAATATATGTATACTTTGTTAGTAAGTTGTTTAAACTGTAAAAATGCATAGATAGCACATACTTCACAATTGCTACTGCACAAGCCTTCAGTTGAATTTGGCCTTTGGTCAAGCACTTGTAGACCAGAATTTTAAGAACAGAAAGCTGGTAGGGTTAGGTCACAAGGTGTATGAAAAAAGAGAATAGAGGCAAAGAAAAATTGGGGCTATTTTTCAATTTTACTAAGAGTTGATTTTACCATATATTCTTAAGATCTGTTAAAACACATTTTGATATTTTTTTATATTCTAGGTTATTAAAAAGATTTATAAAATAAATAATTTTTATAATTTTAGAAACATGTTTGGCTCCTGAATTATATAATGGAAATTATTCCACAACACAGAAAACATTCAAAGTGAAGGACAAAGTACAATACGAATGTGCTACTGGCTACTACACAGCCGGAGGAAAGAAGACAGAGGAGGTAGAATGTCTCACATACGGATGGTCTCTCACACCAAAATGTACCAGTAGGTTCTCATTTGGAATAAAATCTACTCTCACTTTGAAAGCTTTTTCTCGTAGAGAAGTGTATATAAGTTGTCATGCTAATTATATTTCATCTTTTCATACTTTTTTTGCCTTTATTTTTAATTATGTTGATAGCAGTCTTTGACAATTGAAAGCTCCCGAGTAGAAAAAATTCATTTTAGCTCACAGGATTAAATTAGAATACGCTTAATGATATTTAACAAATATATAAAATGAATTCATAAGCTTTTTGCAAATTTAATTTTTATTCTAGATATGTCATGTAAATAGTGAATTTTGTTGTAGCAGAAAAAATATTTGTTTGTAATTTTCTTCATTCTTTTATTTGTAGAATTAAAGTGCCCTTCTTTAAGATTAATTGAAAATGGTTATTTTCATCCTGTAAAGCAAACCTATGAAGAAGGAGATGTCATTCAGTTTTTCTGTCATGAAAATTATTATCTAAGTGGATCTGATTTAATTCAATGCTATAACTTTGGTTGGTACCCAGAATCTCCTGTATGCGAAGGTAAATTTTTAAATTTAATACTCACAAAATGCCATGTCTTTATCAGCTTTACTCTCTATTAGCTCTGATAAAATTCCTGTGGTCATATCAAATTTTTTTCCTGAGTCCTATTTTTAAAATAAATACTGTCTTTTAAATCAGTGCTATTTTCAGCAATCTTTAATATATTCCACCTGAATAAATCTTGTTTTGTATTAGTTTGTAAATGACTATATCTTTTAAATTTATTATTTAAAAATATATATTATACATTTTAAATTCCTTATTACAATAAATAACTTTTCTTATTGGGAATTATTAGACCTAATTACCCCAATCTGGCAGCTTTGCAAGGATACTTTCTCTTTATTTGCCACATATTTCCAGATGTAAAAATTAATCTCTAAAATAGCGAGGTAGAAAGCAGAAAAAACAGAACACTAACACCCAGAAGTGAAAATGGGAAAAGAGGTCATCTAGTAGAAGCTGCCCAAAAATGTAATATCTATGGTCACATTTCTATTACTGGATGTGTCCAAACGGGTAATGCAATTAACTGTCAGAAGACATCCATAGTTATTTAAACACACATACAATTTAATGTGAGGACGGTCCTATCTAGCAGAAGACATGAAAAAAAAAATTGCAGATATGAAAAAAATAATTGCTATAATGTGACAAATGGTACAATCAACTCAGGTACAAAGTGCAGGAATAAACATTAGGGATTCTGATTGGTATTCTGTGGAATAGCATTCACAGAAGTGATGGCTAATATTTACATTGGGTCTTAAGAGATAAATAGGAGTTTGAGGATTGGGAGGATAGGGTGAGGCAAAGGGTTTGATAGTAGATTTTTATTTTCTGTAATATGGGATATAATGTCTACTGACAGGCAGGCGAAAGACATGAAGGTACAACTTGGAAGACAGTGGTGAAGATTTGGAACGGGTGCTAGAGGAAACAAATGAGGGCTCTGACCACGGGTATGCAGTGGGATTGCCAGAACTATCATAATACCCTAAATGCACTGTACAGTAACTTTAAATATTTTATGATTTTTCATTCATGCTTGACATCCTTGGTATAGTAGTAGAGAAGAGGATTTTTAAAGCAAAAATTTTAAAGCATATTATTCCTTTTTTTTTTTTTTTTGAGATGGAGTCTTGCTGTGTCACCCAAGCTAGAGTGCAGTGGCACGATCTCAGCTCACTGCAACCTCCACCTCCCAAGTTCAAGTGATTCTCCTGCCTCAGCCTCCAGAGTAGCTGGGACTACAGGCATCAGCCACCACACCCAGCTGATTTTTTTGTGTTTTTAGTAGAGATAGAGTTTTGCCATGTTGGTCAGGCTGGTCTCGGACTCCCGATCTCAGGTGATCAGCCTGCCTCCGCCTCCCACATTGCTATTTCAAAAATAAATGGCAGACCTATTAAGGCCTTTTATACCTCTTTCCTCTTCCAAATTAGCCAGCATGACAACAAGCCTATTTTCTCCGGTAAATAGTCATTAGGCATACAATAGGCAGTGTTGCGGTCTGAATTATATCTCTCTTCTCCCAAAATATAACCACATTCTAATACTGGGAACCACTAAATGTTACCTTATCTGGTAAAAGACACTTTGAGGTTAACAATTTTAAGGTAGGAATACTATCTGGAATTATCTATCCAGACTCTAAATATAATCAGAAATGTTTTTATAAAAGGGAGGTAGAGGGAGATTGACTACAGAAGAGGAAGCGGGAGATGTGATAAAGGAAGCCACAGGTTGAAATGTTTTGAGGAAGGGGTTGTGAGCCAAGGAATACAGGTAATTTCAAGAAGTTAGAAAAGGCAAAGTAGCTGATTCTCCTCCAAAGCCTCCAGCAGGAATGCAGCTCTCCTGATATCTCGATTTTAGTCCAGTGAAACTGACTCTGGACTTCTGGCCTTCAGGACTGTAAGAGGACACATTTGTGCTGTTTTAAGCCACTAAATTGTAATTCATCACAGCAGCAATAGGAAAGTAGTGTGGTCAGTATTTTAGAGTAGGAGACTTTAATTTAGACAGACGTGGGTTCAAGAACAGATCTGCTGCATGCTATTAATTTATTTACTTCATAAGTTTTAGTTTGTCTATAACATGGGAGAAATAATAGTTCCTACTTAATAAAGTTATTTTAGGACTAAAGGAGGTAATTAATGTAAAATGCCTGCTACTTTAGTATTCTATTGGTGCATAACAATGTCACCACAAACTCAGCAGCTTAAAACAACACAAACATTATTTCCCATTGTGTGTAGGTTGGGAGTTTGGGTGTGGCTTAACCAGATCCCTACATCCCTGGCTAACAAAGCTGCAATCACGATGTTAGCTGGACTGAAGTCTCATGTGAGGCTTGACTGGGCAAGACTTCTTCCAAACTCACTGTGGTTATTGACAGCATTCAGCGCTTTGCAGACTGCTGAACTGAGAGCCTCTGTTTCTTGTGGCTGTTAACTGAAGGCAGCCCGCTGCCCCTTGCCTTACAGCCCTTCTGCTTTGGAAGCTCATGATGTAGCTTCTTGTTTCTTCAAAACTAGCAAGGAGAGAGAGTCTCTTGGCAAGAATGGTGTTAAAATCTGATGTTACATAATTATGTGTACATAATTACGTACTAATCCATGATTTTTGCTGTATTTTGTGGGCTAGAAGCAAGTTACAGGTCCTACTCATGGAAAGAGTTATCACACAAGGAAGTTAACATCAGGAGGTGGGGATCAAAGGAATGCTCCTGGAATCAGTCTGCCATACTCTCTATGATGCTTGACACAATAGACCTTTTTATTTAATCTTTATTATTTTTGTAATTATATGACTAAAGGTGCTAATTATTTTTTCCATAAGGAAGAAGAAACAGATGTCCTCCTCCACCTCTGCCTATAAACTCCAAAATTCAAACACATTCAACAACTTATCGTCATGGAGAAATAGTTCGTATAGAATGTGAACTTAATTTTGTGATCCATGGGTCAGAAGAAATACGTTGTGAAAATGGAAAATGGACAGAACCTCCAAAATGCATTGGTTAGTAACACCTCGAAGAAGCTTTGCTAAAATGAAATCTGCATGTGTAGATAAATGGTCTGTTCTCTTTCAACTGTACCTTTTCAGAAGGACAGGAGAGGGTAGCCTGTGAGGAACCACCCTTCATTGAAAATGGTACAGCAAATATACACTCTAAGATTTATTACAATGGGGATAAAGTGACATATGCATGTAAAAGGGGCTACCTTCTCCGTGGATCGAATGAGATAACTTGTAATCATGGAAAATGGACACTTGCTCCTGAGTGTGTTGGTATGTATGCTATATTTACCATCAGTAGCTAAATTACGGTGTAAAATTTTCCATTCTGTTACTTTAATCTGCATATTCCTAGGAAGAGACCACTGCTTAGGCAAATTAGAAACGCATTGCTACAGCACCTACTCTTCTGTTTTGCATGTGTGCATGTGTGTGTGCGTGTATGTGTAGCCATCCATAGAATTTAAGTCAATGTAAAGAATTCTAAAAAAAAAAAAAAAACTTTTTTGAACACTGGTGCTAAGCACGGTTATCTGATCTATGTCATGCCATGACCTGTAAGTTCTAAATGACAGCACATAAATGATGACGTGCTTCATTACAGAAGTAAATAAGGGCATGGTGGATTGAGTGGCTGGCCATAAGCATTATCTGCTTCTTCTCCCCATGTGTCCTACAAAGTCAGGGTAGAGCATTCTGTTCTTGACCTTGGGTAAGTCCTGCTGATATTTTGCATCTGGCCATTCTGAACCTTATGCCCTTCTGAGACATGTCCCTGGTCTTTGATTTTACTGAAGGGCACCACCAGGCTACACTATCACTCCTGGGGGCTACTATTCCTGTCATCTTTCTCATTTCTTAATCAGATCACAGCGAGATCTTCACACACATGTTTATATAGGATATTTATTGAATAAGGCAAAAGCTATGAAGGATGCTAAAGAAATTTACAGAGTAAGAGAAAGATACCTAAAAGATTAAGCCTGTAATCCCAGCACTTTGGGAGGCCGAGACGGGCGGATCACGAGGTCAGGAGATCGAGACCATCCTGTTACATGGTGAAACCTCGTCTCTACTAAAAATTACAAAAAACTAGCTGGGCGAGGTGGCGAGCGAGGTGGCGGCCGCCTGTAGTCCCAGTTACTCGGGAGGCTGAAGCAGGAGAATGGTGTAAACCCGGGAGGTGGAGCTTGCAGTGAGCTGAGATCCAGCCACTGCACTCCAGCCTGGGCGACAGAGGGAGACTCCGTCTCAAAAAAAAAAAAAAAAAAAAAAGATACCAAAAAGAGGGAAAAAAATGGATATTTCCTTGGTGGGTCGATTGAGACCTGAGATGAAGAGGAATGAGAAAGAAGAAAATAAAAATGGGTTAATGCCAAAGAGCAATTTTAGAATTGACCATAATCTTTAGGTTGAAGAATAGTTTCTCATTCTATAGATTTAAGAAATGTCTGTATCATAATTCCTTCACAATTGAGAAAAGAGAAAAAATACGTATAGTTGTTTTTAGGCAACATATTTGCTGTCAACTCTTGCTTAGCAAATTTTAAAAATATTTGAGCTGAAAAACATTTTTCATATTTGTAATGAATTTATAAAACAATTGTCCTAAATTATTTTATTAATACAAATATTGAGACACTATAGTATGAGTTACTATAGTATATTGTTTTGAGCTCATATTAATTTAAAACAACCTCTTTTCTTAGAAAATAATGAGAATTGTAAGCATCCTCCTGTTGTAATGAATGGGGCTGTTGCTGATGGGTTACTGGCAAGCTATGCAGCAGGATCTTCCGTGGAATATAGATGTAATGAATATTACTTGCTGAGGGGATCAAAAATATCTCGTTGTGAACAAGGAAAATGGTCATCCCCACCTGTTTGCTTGGGTAAGAAAGAGAGCACATGGAATGTTTATGTTCGTACTTTTATGTGATTTTCTTGTGTTTTAATATCATGAAAATGACGATTTTGTATAAATCATTTTTTTCACAACTGTTTTCCCTCCCAGTTCTTCAAGTAGAAAGTCCCTAAAATATTAGTGTATTTTTTTATTGTGGTGAATTATGCATAACATAAAATTTACTTTAGCCGTTTTTAAGTGTATATATATATACACTTATATATAAAGGTATGTTTTAAGTCTTGAGCTCTTTCAACCTTTTGTTAGTAGTTTCCACCTTTCAAGTAACTCTTAGGAGGCTGTTCCCATTCAAATTCAGACACAGGCACATATTCATGTAGAATTTTTCTATTGCTCTCATATTTTTATAAATGGTTGTGATATTCAGTTTTTGATGATTTGATTGATATTGCATTGAGTGGAGATACAGTAATCTCTAAGGACAAAGACTAGATTAAAATATTTATGGCAAAACTAGTAATGAAACAAGTTCATAAGGAAATAACAGCATTAAAGGAAATACATCATTCTATATCTGGAACAACCACCTCAAGAGAGTTAGGTTTGGTCCTAATAAATCAAAGGAAATATCAAATGAAGATTAATCATTGTTATCAGGGCAAGAGAAAGGGGATTTGTACATCTTGCTTATCTATTGAAGCCGGAAAGGCTATCAGTACAAATTCACAATGGTATGATAAAGCATAGAATTGTCTCTGTAGGAATTATTATTTCAGACATTAAGAGTCTCTCTAACCTCTCCACACTCCCTTCCCTGCTTTAATCACTCCAGTCTTTCTGGTCTCCTTACTCTTCCACAAACAAGCCAAGAATGTTCTCACTTCAGGGCCTTTGCACTGGTTAGTTGCTTGGGACACTCTTTCATAAGAAAATGACGTGGTTCACTCAGTCTCCTTCAAGCTTTTGTGCAAATATTACTTCTTATTTAGGCCTACCCTAATCACCTCACTGAAAAGTGCAACTTCTCTTCACTTAACTCTTTTGTTACCCCCTCCCCCTCCAGTACTCTTTTTTTCAACCAAGTTATCTTATGCTGTAGTTTAAAGATGGCCACTGTGTTAGTCTGTTCTCACGCTGCTAATAAAGACATACCTGAGATGAGTAATTTATAAAGGAAAGAAATTAAATGCACTCACAGTTCCACATGGCTGAGGAGGCCTCATAATCATGACGGAAGGTAAAGGACAAGCTAGGCATGTTTTACATGGAGGCAGGCAAGAGATTGTGTGCAGGGAAACTCCCCTTTATAAAACCATCAGATTTCATGAGACTTATTCACTATAATGAGAACAGCACGGGAAAGACCCACCCCAGGATTCAATTACCTCCGACCAGGTTCCTCCCATGACGTGGGAATTATGGGAGCTACAATTCAAGATGAGATTTGGGTAGGCACACAGCCAAACCATATCTGCCACAAACTGTACAATTCATGTCTTTATTATATTTATTATGTATTGTAGGTGTTTCTCCCAATTAGAAGGCAAGCTCTATGAGGGCAGGAGTCTTGGTTTTATTCATTAGCAGGTTTTCTATTATTTTCTACATGGTAGTTTAAGGTTTTTATTTTGTAGAAAGAAAACTATTATTAATCTAACTGACTGATGCCTTTAAATATTATTTTTGATGTTTTAAATTAAGTGGTTTTAGTTTATGACAAGTAATGTATAGATTCATTTGATAGTAATAAAGTGTGTGTTTTCTTATATGTATATATGTGTGTGAGAAGCCTTAATTATGATTTAAATAATGAAATATTGCTTTTGATACTTGTCATAATTTTTGTTTTAAAAAATATCACTTTTATATTTGTCAGACAAGTAAAGAATTTAAAAGAGCGTTTTGTTTTTCAGAGCCATGTACTGTTAATGTGGATTACATGAACAGAAATAACATAGAGATGAAGTGGAAATATGAAGGGAAAGTCTTACATGGAGATTTAATAGATTTTGTATGTAAACAGGGATATGACTTATCTCCGTTAACCCCACTGTCTGAATTATCTGTGCAGTGCAACAGAGGAGAAGTGAAATATCCTTTATGTACTAGAAAAGGTAAAATAATAATGTTCTCTGCAAGTATCTTACTTGATCAATATCTGCTACCTGGGTTGAAAATTTTTTCATATTTTGTTGCTATTTTTCTTTTTATTATTATTTTTTAAAATTTTGTTTTATTTTATTTTTATTTTACTTTAAGTTCTGGGATACAAGTGCAGAATGTGCAGGTTCGTTACATAGGTATACGTGTGCCATGGTGGTTTGCTGTGCCTATCAACCTGTCATCTAGGTTTTTTTTTTTTTTTTTTTTTTTTTGAGACAGAGTCTCACTCTGTCGCCTGGGCTGGAGTGCAGTGGCCGGATCTCAGCTCACTGCAAACTCCGCCTCCTGGGTTCACGCCATTCTCCTGCCTCAGCCTCCCGAGTAGCTGGGACTACAGGCGCCCGCCACCTCACCAGGCTAGTTTTTTGTATTTTTTAGTAGCGACGGGGTTTCACCGTGTTAGCCAGGATGTTCTCGATCTCCTGACCTCGTGACCTGCCCGTCTCGGCCTCCCAAAGTGCTGGGATTACAGGCTTGAGCCACCGCGCCTGGCCTGTCATCTAGGTTTTAAGCCACACGTGCATTAGCTATTTGTCTTTATGTTCTCCCTCTCCTCACCTCTCACCCTCTGACTGGACCCAGTGTGTCTTGTTCCCATCCCTATGACCATGTGTTCTCATTGTTCAACTCCTACTTGTGAGTGAGAACATATGGTCTTTCATTTTCTCTTTCTGTGTTAGTTTGCTGAGGATAATGGCTCCCAGTTTCATCCATGTCCATGCAAAGGACATGATCTCATTCCTTTTTATGGCTGCATAGTATTCCATGGTGTATATGTACCACATTTTCTTTATCCAGTCTGCTATTGATGGGCATTTGAGTTGGTTCCATGTTTTGATATTGTAAATAGTGCTGCAATAAACATATGTGTGCATGTGTCTTTATAGTAGAATGATTTATATTCTTTTGGGTATATATCCAGTAATGGAATTGCTGCATCAAATTGTATTTCTGGTTCTAGATCCTTGAGGAATCACCACACCGTCTTCCACAATGGTTGAACTAATTTACATTCCCACTAGCAGTGTAAAAGCATTCCTATTTCTCCTCAGCCTCACCGGCATCTATTGTGTCTTAACTTTTTAATAATTGCCATTTTGACTGGTGTGAGATGGTATCTCATTGTGGATACACCTTATACAAAAATTAACTCAAGATGGATTAAAGATTTAAATGTAAAATCCAAAACCATAAAAGCTCTAGAAGAAAACCTAGGCAATACCATTCAGGACATAGGCATGGGCAAAGACTTCATGATGAAAATGCCAAAAGCAATTGCAATGAGAGCCAAAACTGGCAAATGAGATCTAATTAAACTAAAGAGCTTCTGCACAGCAAAAGAAACTATCCTCAGAGTGAACAGGCAACTTACAGAATGGGAGAAAACTTTTGCAATCTACCCATCTGACAAAGGTCTAAGATCCAGAATATACATGGAACTTAACACAAATTTACAAGAAAAAAACAAACAACCCATCAAAAAGTGGGCAAAGGATATGAAAAGTCACTTCTCAAAAGAAGACATTTATGTGGCAAACAAATATATGAGAAAAAGCTCAACATCATGGATCTTTAGAGAAAATTTATACCTATGACCCCAATTCACCACCATCATCTTCTAATCTATAAAGTTGAGAGGAGTGATCCAACTTCCAAATTTCAATCAGCACACATACCAATATAGGATGGCCATGCTGACATCTTTGAATTCCAATAAGTCAATTTTATGAAGGGGAAAAATCAAGAGGTTTTATAAATGTTGCCAGACTATCAGAGAATTAATCACCTTCTTGTGACACTCAACAACAAACACTGTAAAGCATTGCTCTACTTAGGGCTTTCTGGGGACCCATTGTCTCAATACTGCCTGGATATAGGGACTATTACTTTTAATAAGGAAGAAAAGGAAGATAATATATACAGAAAGCATGGCTTTTAGAAAAATCCCATAGACTTAGGGAGAAATAAAATCATGATTGTTAATACTCTGATAGTTTTAAATATGTATGTAAATACTATAACATGTGATTCTAATTATGAAAATAAATTGTATGGTATAATATTATTGCAAAAATATTTTCAATAGTTTAAAAATGTTTCAGAACTGCCTAAAAAATGCCTTTATGGCTAGGTGGAGTGGCTAACACCTGTAATCCTAGCACTTTGGGAGGCCAAGGTGGGCAGATTTCTTGAGTCCAGGAATTCAAGACCAGCCTGAGCAACATAGTGAGGCCCTGTCTCTACAAAAGAAAAATGTACCTGTAGTCTCAACTAGTTGGGAGGCTAAGACAGGAGGATCACTTGAGCCTGGGAGGCTGAGGTTGCAGTGAGCCATGTTCATGCCACCATACTCCAACCTGGGCTACAGAGTGCAACTCTGTCTCTGAAAAAAAACAAATGCCTTTATATTATATATCTCAACTTATTTCTGTAGCACTTACAAAGTACTGGATGTTCATTATAGCAATTCATTGTATACTTTAAAACTTATTTTTGCAGAATCTAAAGGAATGTGCACATCTCCTCCACTTATTAAACATGGAGACATTATCAGTTCAATAGTAGACACCTATGAAAATGGCTCTTCAGTAGAATACAGATGTTTTGATCACCATTTCCTACAAGGATCTAGGGAGGCCTATTGTTTAGAGGGAACGTGGACTACACCACCATTGTGTTTAGGTAGGTACTACTAAATATGCCTCTAAAAAGTAAAACTATATATTTTTAATTTGCTGTCATTTTTGAGGTAACATAACATTAATATAATGCTAAATTTGCTACATTTGTGTTATTTTATTCATGTGCTTATTTCATCACTGGTTTCTATTCTTTCCTCAAGATCATAAATGACTGTAGTTCAGTTTATTCTAATAAATATTTATTAAAGACAAACACACATCAGGTTGATGTGGGGCTATAAGTTGAATAAGCCATAGTGGTGTGAGTAAACGTTAACAATTATCATTCATTGTGATTTGTACTATAATAGAAAACATCAGTACAATGGGGAAATAAAGAAATGGATAACTCAATATGGAAAGATGAAGCAAGTTAATGTTTTATTAGCAAGGCATCCTAGTAAGAGTAACAACATTTACTAAGGCCTCAGAGGCATAAAATAGCACATCTGTAAATAATAAGAAAATATTTTTTATTTCCAATTCTGACTTTTATTTATCTCTCTTATGTTCTTTCACTGGCTAGGGCTTCAGTGCAATGTTGAATGGAAGAGGTAGTAGATGTCTTTGTTTCCCATTCTCACAAGTAAAACTTTCAATAATTCACCTCTATGTGTTGTTATAAATACTTTTTAAAAAATCAAGTTAAAGGTATAGAAACCTTTCTTTCTATTTTGCAAAAAATATTTTTAGAGAAGAATCTTCAGTGTTTAATTTTAGCAATGTCTGTTGAAATAATTTCATGATTATTGCTTTTGGTTTTCTTCCCTGCAAATTTAATGAATTATACTGCTTCTTTTGAATGTTAAAGCATGATTGTATTCCTGTGAGAAATTCCACAAAGTTGTGATAAATTATACATATTCTATGTTATATTTTTATTTATCAATATTTTATTCATCTATTTTCATGAGAAAGACTGGTCGGTTATTTTCCTTTCTGGTTTGATATCAAGTTTGTGCTGACCTCATCCCATGATTGGGAAGTGTCCCCTCTTTTCTGGTTTTCTGGATCGATGCTATTTCTTCCTTAACAATCTTAAGAGTTAACCAGAAAGCCATCTGAGACTTGAGTTTTTCTGTGAAAAGACAAACTGACAGCTTTGATTTGTTTAACAAATAACGGTAATTATTTCTTCTTCTATCAGTTTTGGTAGAGAGTGGTTTCTTGATCTGTTCATTACAACTACATTGTCCAATCCAGTAATATAAAGTAGTTATGACATCTTCCTGTCCTCTTTTTGATGTTTTTATTGACGTATCTTTTGTTATTACTTCTATTAACATGTATCTGTCTTGACATGCTTTTCTAAGGGTCTACATATTTTATTAGTGTTTTCAAACAACCAACATTTGCATTTGTTGATTCATCAAATTTTGCTTTCTATTTTATTAATTATGCTATTATCTTTATTATTTTCTTTCTTCTATTTTCTTGTATTTCTTTTGTTACTCTTTTTCTGGCTTGTTTAGATGCATACATAGATTACTGATTTTCAGCATTTATATTTTTTCTAAAAAAATGAATTTAAAAATATAAATTTCTCTCTGAGCACAACTTTAACTTCATCCAACCCCTTTTTATATCTTGGATTTTTACTATCATTCAGCTCAAAAATTTTATAGTATTCATTTTGATACATTCTGTGTGCTCTGCATCATTTAGAAGTTTCTTTTTAAAGTTCTGAATATTTAGGGGATTTTCTAGTTTTCTTTTAGTTGTTGATTCTAGTTTAATTCAATTAAGACATATTTTGAATTATATCTACACTTTAAAATTTGTTGATATTTGCTTTATAACAAGCATATATTTGCTTTAGGTAAATGTTCTTTTTGTACTTGAAAAAAGTTAACTTTGTCACTATTGGGTTCACTGCTTTATATATGCAAATTGGATTGAATTTTTTTTTATGTTTAAGTTAATCCAAAGCTGTACTGATTTGTGTGTGTTTGTTTTCTATCAATGACTGAGAGAAGCATGTTAAAGTCTCACTTGGCATTGTAAAACATTTCGTATTTTAGTTCTGTCAATTTTTGCTTTTGTATTTCGATGCTATTTCATTAGGTACACACACAAATGGGACACTAAATCTTGGTGTACTGGCATAGTCTAATTTTAAAAGACCTCCTTCATATATAGTAATGCCTGTTTTTTTTGGACTTGAAGTCTCCTTTAGCTGGACCAAAGGGTTTTTGACAAGCATTTACATAGTACACATTTTTCCATCCCTTAACTTTCAAACTTCTGGGTTCTTACTTTTAGTGTGCATCTCTTATAAGCAATATATAGCTTATTTTAAAATATACTTATGCAGTTTATAATTTTTTCTTTATAATGGAATATTTAGTTCATTTACGTATTCATGTAATTACTAATATATTTCAGTTTATACCTCATCTTTCTATACTAGGTGTATGTTACTATACTCCATGTATATCCTATTGGTCATCTCTCTCTCTCTCTCTTTCCATATATATGTATGTGTGTTTTATTATAGTTTACGTTCTAGGGTACATGCACACAATGTGCAGGTTTGTTACATAGGTATACATGTGCCATATTGGTTTGCTGCACCCATCAACTTGTCATTTACATTAGGTATTTCTCTTAACGTTATCCCTCCCCCAACCCCCCACTACACGACAGGCCCTGGTGTGTGATGTTCCCTGCCTTGTGTCCAAGTGTTCTCATTGTTCAACTCCTGCCTATGAACAAGAACATGCAGTGTTTGGTTTTCTGTCCTTAAGACAGTTTGCTCAGAATGATGGTTTCCAGCTTCATCCATGTCCCTGCAAAGGACATGAACTCATCCCTTTTTATGGCTGCACAGCATTCCAGTATGTATATGTGCCATATTTTCTTAATCCAGTCTATCATTGATGGACACTTGGGTTGGTTCCAAGTCTTTGCTATTGTGAATAGTTTCACAATAAACATACATGTGCATGTGCCTTTACGGTAGCATGATTTATAATCCTTTGGGAATATATCCAGTAATGGGATCACTGGGTCAAATGGTATTTCTAGTTCTAGATCCTTGAGGAATCACCACACTGTCTTCCACAATGGTTGACCTAATTTATACTCCCACCAACAGTGTAAAAGTGTTCCTATTTCTCTACATCCTCTCCAGCATCTGTTGTTTCCTGACTTTTTAATGATCGCCATTGTAACTGGCATGATATGGTATCTCATTGTGCTTTTGATTAGCATTTCTCTGATTACCAGTGATGATGAGCATTTTTTCATTTTTCTATTGGCTGCATAAATGTCTTCTTTCAAGAAGTGTCTGTTCATATCCTTTGCCTACTTTTTGATAGGGTTGTTTTATTCTTGTAAATTTGCTTAAGTTCTTTGTAGATTCTGGATATTAGCCCTTTGTCAGATGGCTGGATTGCAAAAATGTTCTCCCATTCTGTAGGTTGCCTCCTCACTCTGATGGTAGATTATTTTGCTGTGCAGAACCTCTTCAGTTCATTTAGATTTCATTTGTCAATTTTGGCTTTTGTTACCATTGCTTTTGGTGTTTTAGTCATGAAGTCTTTGCCCATGTCTATATCCTGAATGATATTATCTAAGTTTTCATCTAGGGTTTTTATGGTTTTTAGGTCTAACATTTAAGTCTTTATTCCATCTTGAATTAATTTTTGTATAAGGTATAAGGAAGGGATCCAGTTTCAGCTTTCTACATATGGCTAGCCAGTTTTCCCAGCACCATTTATTAAATAGGGAATCCTTTCCCCATTGCAGGTTTTTATCAGATTTGTCAATGATCAGATGGTTGTAGATGAGTGGTGGTATTTCTGAGGTCTCTGTTCTGTTCCATTGGTCTATATATCTGTTTTGGTACCAGCACCATGCTGTTTTGTTTTCTGTAGCCTTATAGTATAATTTGAAGTCAGGCAGCATGATGCCTCCATCCTTTATTCTTTTTGCTTAGGATTGTCTTGGCTATGTGGGCTCTTTTTTGGTTCCATATGAACTTTAAAGTAGTTTTTTCCAATTCTGTGAAGAAAGTCAGTGGTAGGTTGATGGAGATAGCACTGAATCTATAAATTACCTTGGGCAGTATGGCCATTTCCACGATATTGATTCTTCCTATCCATGAGCATGGAATGCTCTTCCATTTGTTCTTGTCCTCTTCTATTTTGTTGAGCAGTGGTTTGTAGTCATCCTTGAAGAGGTCCTTCACATCCTTTGTAAGTTGGATTCCAAGGTATTTTATTCTCTTTGTAGTAATTGTGAATGGGAGTTCACTCATGATTTGGCTCTCTGTTTGTTATTGGTGTATAGGAATGCTTGTGATTTTTGCACAGTGATTTTGTACCCTGAGACTTTGCTGAAGGTGTTTATCTGCTTAAGGAGATTTAGGGCTGAGACAATGGGGTTTTCTAAATATACAGTCATGTCATCTGCAAACGGAGATAGTTTGACTTCCTTTTTTCCTAATTGAATACTCTTTATTTCTTTCTCTTGCCTGATTGTCCTAGCCAGAACTTCCAACACTATGTTGAATAGGAGTGGTAAGAGAGCGCATCCTTGTCTTGTACCAGTTTTCAAAGGGAATGCTTCCAATTTTTGCCTATTCAGTATGATATTGTCTGTTGGTTTGTCATAGATAGCTCTTATTGTTTTGAGATACATTCCATCAATATCTAGTTTATTGAGAGTTTTTAGCATGAAGGGCTGTTGAATTTTGTCAAAGACCTTTTCTGCATCTATTGATGTAATCATGTGGTTTTTTTTGTTGGTTCTGTTTATGTGATGGATTATGTTTATTGATTTGCATATGTTGAACCAGCCTTGCATCCCAGGGATGAAGTTGACTTGATCATTGTGGATATGCTTTTTCATGTGCGGCTGGATTCAGTTCACCAGTATTTTATTGAGAATTTTTGCATTGATGTTCTTCAGGGATATCAGCCTAAAATTCTATGTTGTTGCTATGTCTCTGCCAGGCTTCAGTATTGGGATGATGTTGGCCTCATAAAGTGAGTTAGG